AGAGAGAGAGAGAGAGAGAGAGAGAGAGAGAGAGAGAGAGAGAGAGAGAGAACACTAACTGGGAATGACATGAGCTTTTGAAACCCCAATATCCCATCTCCTACAGCTGGGGGTCAAGCATTTAAATATATTAGCCTGTGGGAACAATCTTCGTTCAAACCATTAAAGTAACCAACCACTTTCTGATCAGATTTCAGCCCTGTCCTGCAGGAGGAAACTTAAGCCTGATACTGTAGAACTGGCCGAGAGCCCATGGTTGGGGAGCTCAGAAGCCCCAGAAAAGAATCGACTGCTGTCCTTTTACTAAGGGGACATACAATCAAACTGCTCTCTGAATTCATGTCTCTAGAGCCACAGACAAGTGCAGCTCTCCAACCTCATCAGAGAATCTTCGCTGTGGAGCGGATGGTAGTTAACACAGAAACTCCCAACTGGTCAAAGTGCAGAGACTACGTGCCTGTGGAGTGCTCCGCCATAGATGAAGCTGAGTCTTGACCCTCCCAACAGTGTTCAGAGGCAATCAAGGAAAAGGAAGCCGAGGATTGTAAGAGTCAGAGGTTGAAGAGGACCAAAGAGAAACGGTGACTTCAGGACACAATACGACAGGGCTAATAGACTCAGGAGCACACAGCAGCTGCAGTTGCCTGAATCAGACCTGTGTAAGATCAAGCCTCCACTCCCAGCTGAGGGACTGTTAACAGCCTCTGGGGAGGGGGAATCAGTTTCCTCTGAGGGTATGAGACCGCTGGTAGCTCAGTCCTGCTACAGCGGTTGATCCTACGCCCAAGAGTATGAGGGCAGCACAAACTGGAATCCGTGGGCTAACAAAGGAAAACAGGACAGGAATTTGAGAGGGAGTGGGGCTTGAGACAGGAGTGGATCTGGGCGGAGTGGGTGGTGGCTATGAACGAATACAACACTTTGTGTTTTGTGTAAAATTCTCAATATAATAAAGCATCGTAATAAAAATTAGTGCAAAATGTGGCAAAGGTCTGAAGACATACTACAAAACTATACAACTAAAGCCATAAATTTCTTAGGAAAAAACTATGTGAGCAACAAAAGCAGAAAGAGCTACCTCCACCCACATCAGCTCCAACCCTTTATGAATTTGGGAGACACTACCTACCAACAGCGTGAAGCAGCAAGGCCCAGAACAAGAGTAAACACCTACAAATAGCTTACCCAATAAAGCTAATACCCACAGTATACCAATGGATCCTGAGACTTAGCCACAACCAAAAATTCAAAAGTGGCAAAGAATTTCAAGAGACCTGACTTTTCCCCCAAAGAAAATACACAAATGGCCAATAAGCACATGAAAAAAATGGCGGATATCACTGAGTGTTAGAGAAATACAAAATACAACAGCGGAGGCAGGCAGGATGCTCAGCATCTGCCAAGCCTGACCCCTGAGCTGTGTCCCCTGAAACCCAGCTGACAGGAGAGCCAGCTCCTAACATTGTCCTCTGATCTCCACTGGTGAGCTGTGGCACACGGCCTCCAACCAGCAAATAAATGTAATTCAGAAAGCATTTTAAAAGAACCCACAATGAGATACTCTTTTGTGCACACTACGGTGGCCATCATTTGCTTTTATGGCAGAGGCAAGGGAAGAGGGGAGGGTCAGGGAGGGAAGCAGAGAAGCCTTGGGTTCTTGGGGAATTTTAATTTCACATCCTAGTTGGTACATATATAACGGAAGGCCTCCCTCCAGCTCAGTGTTTGTTTGGAATAAATATGTCATTTAATAACGTTTTTGGAAAATATCTCGAGTTAAGGAATTCTTTTGATGTTCAAAGAAATTAAATGACAAATTGTTCCAGGGAGTTGGCAGAGATGGGGAAAAAGATTTCTATGCTATTTACACATTTTTTTGACTTAACCATTCTGTATCGGTCCCTCAGATTTCCTTGAAAAATAAATTGGTTTTTATAAAATAGATGTTTGCATGGGTCCATCCAGGCAGGACCTGGGCTCAGCCACTGATTTGATCAGGTCAGTTTAAAAAGCCGGCTTATTGAGCAATTGGTCTTGCGGGGCCTCTGTCTTCCTGAGTTGACTGATTCAATTAATTTAAAGTCAACCTTTTGGCGTGTCACCGAGGCACACAGGACTGCCTGTGACATTTCCTTTTGACCAGTGCCCTTCTGCTCCTTCACCCAAGCTGTGTTTCGATGGCTGGGGAGTTGGAGATCCAGGAAGAGCTGCAGCAAAGTGGATGTGATGAGGTTAAGGACTAGGCTGGGAACAAGCGCCCTCAGCTATGAGAAGCTTGGGTTGTCTTTAGCCTTGGGACCATGTTCACAACACTTTTCTGAGAAACAGAAAAGCATTGTGGGAAAAGGTTGAGTGGGCCTGGAGCTGCTTTTGGTCTCGGCTGAGGCCGTGTTGACTTGGAGCCTTTGTTCTGGCTCACAATGGAATCCCCAATAAGACTTCACGTTGAGCAGTAGCCTTAGACACTTGGGAAAACAAGGCGTGGGGCTCGGGAGAAAACACTTACATAAAGCGGAAAGCAGGCCAGAGGTTGTCTAAATAAACTTCGAGAAACCGTAATTCTCAGATCCACTGGGACCGGTTCTGGGGAGCAATGAGCCTTCAGAAGCGCCAGGTTCAAGAGAGGAGACAGGGCGGTAAGGGGAGAGAGCAATGCCTACGTCAGAAGCCAAAACATCGAGATGTTGAAGATTCAGCCTGAAAGGTCTGCTCTCTTCAGGCGAACATGATGGAAGCATCCACCTTGCAGGAGCCCTTCTGAGATGTTTACACGCCCCAGCAGAGGATGGGGCCAGCGCCCCAGTGACAGGGGCCAGTTAATGACAGGACCCGTTACAAGCAACCTGAGCACACCTGACGCACAGAGAAAGTTTGTCATTGCAAGAAGAATTTGATCTTTCAAATAAATAAGCATTATTAAAATGGTAAACAAACTTCTACCCACTTCAAACCTCTCCATTACTGGAAGAGAGAGAGAGAGAGAAAGAGAGAGAGAGAGAGAATGAGAGACAGATGCGAAGGGCTTGGGACCAAAGCAAATGGGTCCAGGTGGACCAACAGGCAAACAGTGATGAGGCCTGGGACAAACGAAGCCAATTTTTCTCCCAGAAGCTTCAGGAAGGCAAGTGGCTGGGTGAGCAGCAATGTTGGCACATGACAATTGCGATGCTAGTCCAAGCCGTTAAGGAAGAGTGGGAACAAGACGTGACTTTCCCATTGCATGGCTTCTCATCTAATTCCATTTGATTTTCTGTGCAGCAGTCCAATCCATATAGAACTGCTTTTTCCCCTCTCCTTCTTACATATGTGATGTGTGTGTGTGTGCATGCGTGCACGTGTGCACATGCATGTGGGTGCATGTAAGTGGTGGAAGGGGCTGTTGAGTGTGTACGTACACTGGAAGCCCAAGACTGACACCAGGATCCTTCCTCAGTCAGGGCCACTGCTGTGGGACAATGCTCTTTTATCCTGTCACTTGTATTTTAATAAAACGTTGATTGGTCAGTAGCTAGGCAGGAAGTAGAGGCAGGACACAACCAGGCAGGAAGTAGAAGCAGGGTAAAGAGAATAGGAAAATTCTAGGAAGAGGAAAGATTCAGCCTGCAGTCATCATCCAAACACAGAGGCAGCAAGATGTGACTGCCTCACCGAAAAAGGTACCAGGCCACATGCCTAACACAGACCAGAATTATGAGCTAATATAAGTTAAAAGAGTTAATGAGAAGTCTGAGCTAATAGGTCAATCAGCTTATAATTAATATAGACCTGTGTATTTCTTTGGGACTGAACGGCTTTGGGATTGGGAGGGACCGAAACCTCTGTCAGCAGGCCATGTAACTGTTCGAGGCAGAGCCTCTCAGCTGAATCCAGAGCCAGTGGATAGGACTAGTCTAGCCAGCAAGCTTGCTCATCCGAGCAGTATCATTACAGGTGAGCCGCTAAACCACACAGCATTTATACAAATTCTGAGGCTCCAAACTCTGGTCCCCACAATAACACAGCAAAGACTTTACCTGCAGAACCATCTCCTCCCAACACCCCCTGCACAGGAGTTTTGGGGACATGCTCAGTAAATTACATTTCTTGTGAGTGAGGTATGCGTATGTAGATCACACATGTGTGGGAGGCCAGAGGTCATTGGTTGTCTTCTCTATTGCTTATATTTTGAGACAGGGTTTCTCCTGAACCAGGTTCTTACCTGTCTGTAACACCCCAGGACTGGGATTACAGTTGCATGCCGCCACACACAGCTTTGATGTGGACGCTGGGAATCTGAACATAGCAAGAACTTTACCAACAGAACCATCTCTTTAGTCCCAGGAAGTTCTTCATGGTAGCATACTGTAAGTCTGCTTATACGACAGTGATTTGCTCCTTTGGGGACAGTTGGCAACACCAGAACACCCTTTGTATTGTCACATCCCTGTGTCTTGGGGCATCGTTGGCTGCTGACCTTTCATGGGTGGAGGGCAGGGATGCTGTGAGTTCTTTACCCTGAAGAGAATAAAGAGACATCTGACCTAATGTCTCGGATTCATTAGAGCAGCTAATGTGTTAGATAGCAAAGCCCTCCTAAGCATTCCTTCTCATTCCAGGCTGTAGGAACACCACCCAGAGGAAGGACAGGGACTGAGTGCCACCCAAGCAAGCTCAGGCAAAAGAGACCTTGCTGTGCCCAGCCACTACCATCTGTGATGATAAACTCTGTAGTCAGTGTGCCTGGTGCCCTCACAGGAGCTCCGCCTGAACAGGCCACCATAGTCGGGTACCAACATGCCTATAGGCCTCCCTTCTGTGTGCCTTGTTCTCCTGAAGGCACCGTCTGACCCTAGCAAGAGACTTGCTTCTGTTTCGCATCAGAAGCACGCCCTGTAGTCTTCTTATTGTCTCAGAGGTACACTGTAACTGGTTAGTACCTGGCTAGGATTTGGACCTTTTCCTGGAATACAGTGTCAAAAACAAATACAATACCCTGTGTCTTACAAAGTCACGTCTAGAGGTTGTGTGCCACCCTGATGAGGAACACAGTGCCGAGAGAGAATGTGGAGCTCTGGAGAGTTCCCAGGTCCTGAGAGACTGGGTCAACTTCATTGTTGGATCTTCCTTCTGGCCACCCCTCACGAATATGTAAGAACTTGGTTTCTTCAACCACCCCAGATATGCCATGAGGTCTTTCTTTAACAAATAGGAAAATGTAACTTAAAATGGATATTTGTGAAGGGGGGAAAGGCAGATCGCATGTTTGCTACTTCTACCTCAAGGATAAAATATCTCTCTTGAGTTCTTAAGACTGAGAGACCTGCAAAAGCAATGGGATAGTGTCTGTCTGATAATGGCAGGACTGACTGGAAGAGAGAGAGAGAGAGAGAGAGAGAGAGAGAGAGAGAGAGAGAGAGAGCGCACAGGTATGCAGGCTCTCCTGGAAGCCAGAAGAGATTGCTGGGGTCTTTGCAGCTGGAGTTATAGGCATTTGTGAGCTGCCTGGTAGGGATGCGAGAAACCTAAAATTTTCCTGATAGAACAGCAAGGGCTCCTAACCCCTGAGCCATGCTCTGGCCCCTGCTGTGACTTGAAATATAGTCTTTGATGTAATAGCCTTTGTGAGAGATGATTTTGTCCAATTTGAGGCTAATGTGGGTATTTTGAGTTAAGGATAAGCTAAGAGGATTGCTATGCAACTTAGAAGCTTTCAATCCCCGAGCATTTGCAACTTTTCCTGTTGCTAAGGCAAAATACCCAATAAAAGGAAGGTAAGGAAGGGAAACTGCTTCACAGTTTGAAAGCAGAGTTCAGCGGGGTGGAGCCGGCACAGCCTCAGGACCACAAGGCTGCTGGCCACTGGCACCTTCAATCAGAAGGCAGAGAGAGATGAGTGTTGAGCCCCACACCTTCATCCTTTTCCCTTTGTCATCCGCAGTGGCGCCCCAGTCTATGCCCGGTACCAACCCACATTCAGGATGAGTCTTCCATCTTAGGGTAAACCC